GAAAGTAACATAATGATAAAATTTGTCTAATAATGATAAAAGGTTGAGCTCCTGCTCATGTTAATAGAATAAAAATATTAATGAAAATTCAAAATAAATATTGATTTAAAGGATAAAATGATAATGAATTAAATTTTATAGAAATTAGAGGTAAAAAATATAAGATAATAATTGATGATAATAATGCAATTACACCTCCTAATTTGTTAGGGATAGATCGGAGGATAGCATAAACATATAGAAAATATCATTCAGGTTGAATATGAATTAAAAATGTATTTTATAAATAAATGAAATATTATATATATATAATATATATATATAAGTGTATATATATATATATATATATATATTATATATATATATACAGATATGAAAGAACTTACGAGTAACGTATGATGGCTCAATGCAAGAATATTTAATCACGTAAAAAACTTGAGTTCAAATATATCAATATCAATTTTTTATAATATATTAGAATATAGAAAATCATAGAAATATATTTTTTATATAGGCGATAAACTTAAAAATTTGATATTGAAAATATTTTAATCATTTTACAACTACACACACTATAAATATATAAATGCAAAATACTTCCGTAAATAAATTTCAATAAATCAATTGCACACATGCACACAGCTGGTATGTAGATTTTTATTAAATTTATTTTCTGAATTATTTTACACTTATATATATGTAGTAAAAATATTTTTTATTGATATATTTGAACTCTAATTTACTGGATGATATACTGAACATCCTTGCATTGATTATATATTACTCAACGGTACGTTCTTTCACGTTATAAGTTATTGGAGCAAATTATACAATAGCATCAATAATCAAAAAGAAATCAAGAATAATCAACATATCCCTTATATAATATATATATATATATATATATATATATATATATATATATACGCACATATGTGCATAAGGATATATAAAATTTATAAAAAGTAGGTACTTATTAGCCTTGCTACGCTACTGCCTTCTGCTACGGAAGGCCAGAAAGCATTTTCAGGCGGCATCTCGCGTATACCGGCACGGTAGAGGAACAAGGAGAACACGTGATTATCGGTCCTTGTCTCTCTACGGTGCGTCCGCGTGAGCAATGCAATGGTGTATGTACGTGTACAGACATGCACCACTACATAAAACCCGAGAATTGGTTTCTCGGCGTTGGCAACACTGAAATCGGAGTTTCGCGTTGTCACCGCGCGAGGTCTCCAACATCAATTCGGAGTTTGGCCGACCGACCTGTCGACCCTTAATTATAAACGCAAGCGTTAAAAAATTACAGAATAGGCCTACTAATTAGATTAAGGGTCGGCAGGCGACATGGTGGAGACGCCTATCGGCCGGCCGGGAATTACGGATTCTTATTTTCCAGATATTAGCGAAAATATTGAATGAATCTTATTAAATTTAGGATATTCTTAATCAGTAAGCTCATTTGTAGTCCTCTAAAGAGCTATTTTATGAAAAAAAGATAAAAATAAAAATTTTAATAAACTTGGGGGAATGCACAGCTAGGAACGGGTAAGGTTGGGTTAGCCGCGAGTCCGTATTTTATTTATTATAAATTTTTAAGAGCGAAAATGTAAAATCCGGCCTTTTAGAGGACTGCTTTATTATATAAAGAATATATTAAAAAAAAATTCACGAAGTTATGTCACTTATTTTATGAAATATCTGGACGATAAGATTCTCACTAGATTCATAAGGAGCAGGGGAAATTTCTGTGGTAACATGCTGACTGCTTGACAAGGAGAGAGCATCATTCCATCTTTGTCTCTCTTACATCGCATATGTAGTAGCGTCCATGTAGGTACAAACACTAATACGTGAGCACACGGATGCAAATATTGAGAGATAATGTCAGCAAAAAGGCTATCATATTATTTTTATTTTTTTGTATATGTATGCATATGTAAATAAAGAACAAAAATAAAAACTATTTTAAGATGACATTTTATAATTAATTTTCTATATGTATTTGCATTTTATTAATATGTATTACATTTTTGATATGTTTTTAATTTATAATTTATATAAACATAAGTATGAAATAAAAATTGAAATAGTTCTGAAAATAAGTATATTAATGATAAAATTATTCAAAACAATAAAAAAATTAAATTTAATATTTTTTAGTGTTTGTACCTACATGGACGCTACTACATATGCGATGTAAGAGAGACAAAGATGGAATGATGCTCTCTCCTTGTCAAGCAGTATTAAAAGCCATATTAAAAGCTCTAGCTTCATTCAATTAATAATCCAATATAATAATCAACAATTATTTTTATATAATATATAGTATTTTTAAATATTTTTAAATATTTAAAAATATTTTTTTAAGATTAATTGAGGAAAAGAATATTTTAAATATAAAAAAATATTTTAAATATTCTTTTTCAATTAATTTTTAAAACAAATTTTTAAAAATATTTTTATATATTCAAATACTTATTATATTATATAAAAATTATTGTGAATTATACTCATTGGAGTAATAATTATTGATTGAAGCTTGTTATGGCACAAACTGAACATCTTGTACATTGTCTGTATAATATTTTACTTATTTATAAAATGTTTTTTATAAATAAATGAAATATTATATATATATAATATATAAGATTATAATATATAAGATTATTGATGTTACATTGTATAACTCTCATTTCTTTCTCTCTGCTACATAAGTACTTATGACGTGAAAGAACTTACGAGTAACGTATGATGGCTCAATGCAAGAATATTTAATCACGTAAAAAACTTGAGTTCAAATATATCAATATCAATTTTTTTATAATATATTGGAATATAGAAAATCATAGAAATATATTTTTTATATAGGCGATAAACTTAAAAATTTGATATTGAAAATATTTTAATCATTTTACAACTACACATACTATAAATATATAAATGCAAAATAATTCCGTAAATAAATTTCAAGTAATAAATCAATTGCACACATGCACACAGCTGGTATGTAGATTTTTATTAAATTTATTTTCTGAATTATTTTACACTTATATATAGTGTATGTAGTAAAAATATTTTCAATATATTAAAAAATTTTTAAATCGCCGAAATATATTTTTTTATCATTTTTCTATATTCTAATATATATATATATATTATAAAAAAATTGATATTGATATATTTGAACTCTAATTTATATACTGGATGATATACTGAACATCCTTGCATTGATTATACATTACTCAACGTTCTTTCACGTTATAAGTATTTGGAGCAAATTATACAATAGCATCAATAATCAAAAAGAAATCAAGAATATAATCAACATATCCCTTATATATATATATATATATATATATATATATATATATGTTATATATATACGTTATGCACATATGTGCATAACCATATATACAATTTCCAAAAAGTGGGTGCTTATTAGTCTTGCTACGTTACTGCTTTCTGCTACGGAAGGCCAGAAAGCATTTTCAGGCGGCATCTCGCGTATACCGGCACGGTAGATGAACAAGGAGAACACGTGATTATCGGTCCTTGTCTCTCTTACGTGCGTCCGCGTGAGCGATGCAGTTGGTGTATGTACGTGTACAGACATACACCACTACATAAAACCCGAGAATTGGTTTCTCGGCGTTGGCAACACTGAAACCGGAGTTTCGCGTTGTCACCGCACGAGGTCTCCAATATCAATTCGGAGTTTGCCTGGGTGTACTGCCGACCCTTAACGAGTTAAACTCCGGTTAAAGCGAGTTGTGGAACTGGGCCTTAGTCAATCACTTGCAATTTTTTTGTAAGAAAAAAACCATCAATAGGAACAGGCAATAGAAAATATCCACCAAATTGCATAGTTTTCCACGTTTTTATCCTAGGGTAAAAGTTACACGATCATCCTGTTGCACTACTAAGGACCCTAGAAATTACTTCTAGAGACTCTAGTTTGTACCTACGGCTGCGTTCGGAAACATCACTTGTGTGTACACGAACTCACACTACCCGTTCGGAAATCTTCGATGTGTACTCGAGTGTTTTCGGGTGAATTGTTTGGAAAAAGAAGGAATCACACTGGTGTGCCACCAAATCACTCGTCGAAATACAAAAGGAAGTTAGTGGGATTCGATAGGTTTGTTCGCGTCGCATGCTCCAACTTGCTCCTTTTTATTTCAATGCGCTCGTATTGGTCTAATTCGAGGAGCGCACCAATACGAGCGCATTGGAGTAAGAAGGAGCATGTTGGGGCATGCGACGCGAACAAACCTGATATGTTTACATTTTTTATTTTACTAGCTGAAACACATAACCTCTTTTTCTGTTTATAGTGAAAGCAAAGATCAGTAATGCATCAATAAAATACAAAGTCCGTAAATGAACGACGGGAGGGGAAAGAAGGTCGTCGCATGAGCCGCCATTTTGGGATCACAAAGTTAAGTGTGTTGTATGTCGGTGTGTGCGACATACGAAGTGTTAGTGAAAAAAAACTATAGTTGAACAGCGGTCCGGTGGCTGGATTGGCGGCGCCATATTGGGACAAAATACTGAAATATGAATGCGACGACCTTATTACTTCCCCTCCCGTCGTTCATCTACGGACCTTGATAAAATATTACTTTAATAAAAGGATAGCATCAAGCTGTAATGAATACTAATTTCCTGTTATTTGATTCAAAACGGGGATATAATTGTTCAATATATAAATATGTATATATATATTTATTTATATTTATATATTTATATTTTATATTTATATATTTATATATAATATAAATGTATATATATATGTATTTATTAATATGTATTTATATATAACACAAAACGCGTACAAATATATACGCATCCGTTCGGAAACACTACACACACCCAAGAACACACTGTATCCCCTCTATTTCTCCACTGAAATCACGAAACCACACCAAGTGTGTAGTTTCCGAACGCAGCTTACCTCTTTTCCTCTTACTTTATAACTACGGGCTAGATGGTGCCACCTTGGCTTTCCCCTTCCCTTATATTTTCAATAAAAAAATCTTCCTATCTCAAGCATAACATTGTCTAGTTTACCCGGTATAAGTTATCATGGCTACTTCAGTGAGCACAAATCCATCTACGTTATTGCCTTTGGGTAAAATAATCATTTTATATGTAAACTTTTTCTTTAAATTTTCCTTTTTAAAAAGTTATGTATTTCTTTTTATGTATACCTCTGAAGCGTGTGCATGAACAACTGATTTACACCATTGATCATTATTTGCAGAACTAGTTGATAAATGCATCGGTTCCAGAATACATATCATAATGAAAAACGACAAGGAGATTGTAGGAACACTACAAGGTTTTGACGATTTCGTTAACATGTTGTTGGAGGACGTAACGGAAAGCGAGGCAACCCCGGAAGGTCGTAGAGTCACAAAGTTGGATCAGATCCTTCTCAACGGCAGCAACATTACTATGGTCATTTTTTATTGCTATCTAATGTTGCATTTAAATTTTAAGAGATGCAAGATTTTTAGAGTAGATTATTCTTTTGGCACATAAAGTAAAACAGAAATTATTCAAGCGAGGATTTTTATAATTTATTTATTTCTTTTATTTCAGTTGGTACCTGGTGGTGAAATGCCAGATACGTAAAATTGACTTTCAACACATCGTACCAAGCTATCATTCTCTCAGGATTTATTCCTATTTTAATATATTTATATTAGGATACAAATGGTAATTTTTTTAAGCTATGTATCACAAATAAATCTTTTGTATGCTTAAGTTTGTTTCCATAGGTAAATAAATATTAACAATTGATTATAAGAGATCGAGTTTACTGATTATTTCATTTAGCGTTGGTCTATCAGCAATATCCTGCGACCATGCTGCTTTGAACAGTTCCTTGTATCTTCCACTAAACTCATCGTCGAGGGTTTCGCATTTAGGACGCGTGCCTTTTACAGAGATATATATAATAGTGTGGGTGTGCAATCCATGGAAGGGTACTTCTCGAGATAGCATTTGCCAAGCCACGATTCCTAGCGAGTAAACATCAGCGGCAAATGTAGGTTCATCTCCTCTGAGCATTTCTGGTGCCATGTAACCTGGTGTACCCTGATAGAGAGATAAAAGTTTTTTTTTTTTTTAAATAGATTCTTCATTAAATATACAGGGTGTTCCATTTTAAAAAATAGCTTAAAGAATTAAAAACTGTTAGTAAATTTTTCAAAAATAATATATAGGGTGTTTCAGGAGGAATGGTCAGCATTCTAAGATATGATTGTATGTACATACATACACATTATTTTAAGCAAAAAAGTTTATATAAACATGTATCCTATTTTGGATGATTATAAGGATACAATAGAGTAAAGGTTGTACCTATGATTGATAGTTGTACTATTATTTAGGTAACTTATTATGAGATAGGTTCTCAATATGAGAGAGATAGCGTCTTAGTAACGACACCGTGCATTTGAAATGTGTGACGCTTGTGTCGCTTACTTCGTCGAATAAACAGATCCAATTGTGTATCAATGGGCACCGACCAGCGACAGCGAACAGACGAGGACACGCTGATTTGTCACGGAAGCAAAATCACAAATTTGTCCGCACTAGATTTAAAGTACGTTAAATTTTATAAAATTTGTTTTGAATGTTGTAAAATATCAATAAATTCGTCGCTAATATAGACTATATTTTATGATACTAGTGCACATTATAGTGTTTTATAAGTGAAACAAAATGTTTTTTGTTGAATCTCTGTCAAATGGTAAACTCTTAATAAGAGATACTGAAGGTCTCGTAATATGAGATATCTTATATTAGGAACCATTTTTTGTAATGTAGATAATTGATTATTTTGAGATTATTTTATGTTTTTAGATACAAGAGTTTATAAATATAAGTCTAATAAATAATATAATTAAAGCTATATATATTTTTAAATTTTATTGTTGGTTCTGAAGATTCAACACTGTAAAAGGTTTAAAATTAAGATTAGTAATAATAAAAACATTTATTTTTATAAACAACTAAGAATAAATTCTCTGTAAAGGTCTCGGGTTCGATTCCCGATTCAGCGACTTTCGGATCTATATTTTTCTCTCGCATTTATTTATTTATTTCCGTAGGGGGGTTAAGGGGTTTTTGAAATTAAATCTCAACTATGAGATTATTTCAAACTTTAAAAATCTTGGTAGTATACCGAGAATAACACGTGCCTTATGCACGGTTTATTTTTCAACGAAAATTTTGTTTCGTTGAAAATGTGCGCAGTAATAACCGCGTATGGCTCTTTTACGCCTTTCTAGTGATTTAGATTTATTTTTATCTATATCTTTTATTTTTGGTGTTAATAAAAATGAAACTAAGTTTACCTAATTTGAGACAGTATCTCATATAATTAGGATCAGCTAGTATCTCTTATTAGGAGACCTTTTGGTTTTGCCAAAAACTGACTTACTTTAATCAAACCTATATATATTAAACTTTGAACGAGATATAACTTTTATTGAATTAGGATTCCTAAAACTACATGAAATGACGATTAAAAACAGTATATAAATACTTTCCTAATTGCATATATTTTGGAAATAATTAAGAAAATGTAAATGGCATCTCATAATAGGCACCTTTACCCTATATCCAATTTTAAGAACGTATACATTTATTAATTTAGCTGTTTAGCTATTTAGCAGAACCAAATGCTATGAAACAATTATATTAAATTTTCCTGTTACCATGGTTATTAATACGTAAACATTAGATCACGTTTGACATAAGTTTTATGTTAGTTTGAAATTTTTTGTTTCTGATGTAATTAAAATGTCTCATTCACTTAAATCAAAATTATTATTAATTAATTGAAGTTATTGGTTTTAATTAATTAAACTTAATCTTTTCATTTAAAAATAGTATCTAAGAAGTTTCAACGCGTGCTTTCTCGCCTCTAAAGTCACAATCTAACATGCGCAACTATTCAAAATAGAATGTATATTTATATCTCCATTTTTGCTTAAAAGAATGTGTACAATTACATTCTAAAATGCTGATCATTTCTCCTGAAACACCCTGTATATAATAGTAAAAATATATAATAATAGTAATCGCAGTATTTTTACTGTTATCTAAATAAAATTATATAGATGATCATTGATAGATGAAATTTTGACGTCATCTTATCTTTATATAATTAATAAAAATATGTATTATCTATATTTGCATTAGATAAAAAAGTATTATTTTTACTAAATTATCTAGAATAATTTTCAGATAATTTTGGTTTAGAGTCATAACACATAAAAATACTTAAAGGTAGTAGAACTTAAGCAGTATATAAGCGATAAAACTTTATAAATAAAAATATAAATACATATATTTTTATCGCATTTTATAATTTACATTTTTCTTATAACGTATTTATACATAAGCAGTTCTTAAAAATTATTATCTAGAAAATTATCTAGACGAATCGTCATATTTTATTTATAGATATATTTAACATAAAATCATCTTTATCTTGTGTCTTGTAAGATAAATTTACATATTTTTATCTCATCTTTAATGAAGATAATTTTGTTTTATAAGTATATATATATATATATACTAAATATAAATTTAGATAAAAGATAAAATTTTATATGGCGATTTATCTAGATAATTTCTAGATAATATTATTTTAAGACCGCGTATGTAAACACAATTATAAAAAAATATAAATTATAAAAGGTATATAAAAATAAATTTTTATTTATAAATTTTTATCGTTTATACTGTTTAAGCTTTATTGCTTATTAAGTATCTTTATGTGCTATGACTCTAAATCAAATTATTTGAACATTATTCTAGATAATTTAATAAAGATAATACTTTTTTTTATTTAAAATATAGATAAAACACACATTTTTATTATCTATATAAAGATAAGATAACACCAAAGTTTCATCTAGAGATGATCATCATCTATATAATTTTATGTAGATAACAGCAAACACTGATAACAATAATAAACATATTTGCTTACCCGTAACTTAATCGAAACGTGCGGTTCGCCGATCAGGATAGAGCTACCGAAATCCGTAAGCTTGGCCCGATCTTCGGCAGTCATCAGGATATTAGTCGCGCTGACGTCTGCGTGTATCACCGAGGAAATGTGACAAAATTGGAGTGCCTGGGCGACGTCTCGCCAGATGGAAACGCGCTTTTCCTTCTCGAGAACCGATTCTTGCAGTCTGTCTTGCAACGACGTGCCGCACAATTCCATCGTTATCATCGATAAGCTGTTGCCTTGTTCTACCTTCAATATCTTCACGATATTAGCATGTCGCAGAGCAGCTGCGTGCTTCTCCGAGTTTATTATTTCGTCGTCGTTTCGTTTACATTCAATTATCTTGGCTGCTACTTGACTCCCTAAAAAAAGAGAAAACTGTACAGTGTTCCATAGGAAATTCCGGAAACTAATTAGCTGTCATTTTTTAATGCATGCAGTTATTGAGAAAACAAAAATTGTGTTGAAAAGAGAAAAGTCTACAGTTTTTAATGGATATAAATAAAATGTTTGTATTTTATTTTATAATATTGAAAAAATTGCAGTTTATTTTATTGAAAATTACAGTTGATTTTATTGAAAAAAGTAATGAAAAAAGTGCTAATATTCACATATGTAAACTAATGATAAATATTTTCGAAGTGCGCACCATTTGAATTTGTACAAAATTCTGTTCTTTTACGAAAACTCTAGTAAGAACTTTTTTAACATATTATTTTTAATGTTATGATCCTTTTAATAGCTGCTATTAAATCTGGCACTGTTTAAAATACTTATCATTAGTATATGTGCTTATTAGCACTTTTTTTCATTACTTTTTATCAATAAAATAAACTAATATATAAAATAAACTGAGACAAGAAGAAACTGATATATAAACATTTTATTTATATTCATTAAAAACTGCAAACTTTCTTCTTTCCAACACAATTTTTGTTAATTTCTTCAATAATTACATGTATTGAAAAATGACAGCTGATTAGTTGTATAATGTAAATTATTGCGCCCTTCTTTCAATTTTCTAATTTTTTGTAGGGTGTGAAATGACACATAATTAGAATTTTGTCAAAAAGGATTGAAATACCTTTATAAAACGCCTTGTACACGGTGCCGAAAGCACCTGTACCTAACACAGGACGATGTTTCTTCGGTAAACCATCCCTTAATAATCTGATTCTATTAGGGGTGTCAAGATTGAACGGCGACGACGGCTCTTCGTTCTTCACAACTTTTAGGAAATTGGGAGTTTTTGGACTTGATGTTCTACTAAATTATTACTCACGATTATTTATTTTGCTCGATAATAATAAAGATATGTTTAAGCTCACCTAATATTTGATACACTTTCGAATGGCCGGGGTGACAGATGTTTCAACGTAGGCATTAATCTTCGCGGCGAAGCCATTATTTATCTTTAATTTGAATTGTGTGCATAATAATTTCTATACATAAAATATAGAAATGAATACTTCCTGCATAGAAAACTCTGTTAACTTTCCATTGTAATAAACTTATGTAAAAAACAAGATTTTTCCGTTAAAATTCTACTCTCATCTGTATGTGTGCAAATACATTGAAGGGCGATAGGTAAAACATCTTTCTTTATTATTATATATAGACAGTTCTTTTTATTATTATATATATATATAGACAGTCTACAGATACATTCTTTATAGCGCGCAAAAGATAATTTTGAATTTATACTATTTTGAAATATTTATGATCTTTTTTGACGTAAAAAAATCAATTAAGGAGTAATAATGGGAAATTGGAATGAATAAAACATCAAACAGAGTGCAATTAAAATAGATTTTATTTCTTCAGTCACTAAAATTTAAGAGGTAAATCAGCTACTGAGAGCCTATTGCTAATTATTATTTATTTTCATTCTTTTTTTTTTAATACTGTACATTAATTAGATTATTTACAATTGTTCTATCGCTCTGCATCAATTCGTCATTATAATATAATATAATGCAATCTGCATTACAAATTTCTGTCTGTTATTAACATTGAATTGCTCGTCTAGATATCGTCTTGGTTTTCGAGCAAATTCTGCTTGCTATCACAATGATTAAGAGAGTATCAGGGTTCCTGTTTCCTCCTCTCTGTGGAACTCTCTATTCTACTAATTAATTAACAATCAATATATATATGTATATCCCGTGATCTAAGCGACTTTATAGAGATTTAGTATAATATTTAACGTACTCTAAAGAGAATGAAAATAGAATATATCATCTATATATATATTTTCTTAGTTGAAAATAGTTTATTCAATCAACTATATATAGCCTTCTACTTTTCTCTCACCAGCCTTATTCTTTATTATAGGCTCCGAATCACTCAATTGTAGCATCATTGATTGCTTAGTGTTGCTGGAAGCGCATGCTTCTTTTGAATTTTTAAACATATGTAAAATTAGATTAAAATCAATATAAATAAATATATGTATATGTATTTTGCGAATTTTTATAGATTTGATAGGATTCATGTGCAATACGTTTTATTAAATTACGTAAAAAAAACATTCTAATTTTGACCGCGATTTGCAGGATTCGTATAATCATTGAAAAATTCCTAAGTGATTTTTCAATGGAAGAGCCATTCGTACAAGGATTTAAAGAGTTAAAAATCTGAACGTGTATAAATGCGTGTAGATATAGAAATAATATATATGTATATATATATATATATATATATATATATATATATGTGTATATATTGTAAGAAATTATCTATCTTTAAGTATTCTCTTGCAAAAAATATAAGTACTTGTGCAAGTCAATGAGATATATCAGTTGCTTATGACCAGTACTAAAAATATATAGTTTACGTTATGTATATTATAGATTTTCAGTACTGGCAGTATATATCGGAACATGCCTATAATATATATATACAATACAGTGGCATATTTTTCATGAAGGGGAATTACTGGGGGTTTTAGCCCATCAAAATCCGACTAAGTTATCAACATTTTTTCATTTTAAAGTACTTATGTCCCAGATAGCAAGCGTACGTCATTTTAACGTTTAATGACGTCAGTTTGCTATACTTGAGGTTTTATTAAGTAAATAAAAATATAGTTCATGTTAAGTATAAATTTGATTCAATGTAATCGCCCTTTAGATCATGGAAGAGGAATTGCCCAGCAAATACCTCTCATGGAACGAATGTGTGTCCAACATTGGTGCGAGAGAGAAAGCAGGTAATAACTCCCAATCGCCTGTAATGCGCACGTGCTGATATATTGTTGCCATGGTTACCTAAGGTTTGTTCGCGTCGCATCCCCAACATGCTCCTTTTTACTCCAATGCGCTTGTATTGGTGCACTCCTCGAATTGGAACAATACGAGCGCATTGAAGTAAAAAGGAGCAAGTTGGGGCATGCAACGCGAACAAACCTCTATATTAACTTGGCAAGAAAAAAGAAGGATAAAGATGCTTTTACACCTGGTAGCATCTAGAGTAACCCTTGTTTCTTATCAGGAGATGAGGGTATCCAGGATTTTCTGTGTTATAAAAAAATCTAGTATACACTACCGTCAAAAAGTTTAAGACCAAAAAATTTATAAATTTAATTTATTATTTCTACCAAAAAATAATGCAAACTATTTTTACTTTTATGTTACAATATAATCATATAGCTATTAATAAAAAAGAATTTATTACTTTGATCTTAAACTTTTTGACGATAGTGTATGTAGAAATCTATGTCGCAAAAGTCCCACGAAGTGGTCTCGCGAAAGATGGCAACTAGTAGTTAAAAAGTACTATTTTTGGTTGTACTTGGTAGTTGTGATTACAAATAAGTTAACCAACTCTTTTTTTGCAACTGCAATTGCCAAGCAACAACCGAAAATAATTTCAATTAGTAATTGCGATTGGCGACAGGGCATTTGCGATTATTATGTGAAACAAGTCTCATTGTTAGACAAATCAACGTAGATGTTGACATAACCTTTTTCTAACGCGATGATCATGCGAAAGAACCATATATGGCAACAACGATATTAGTATATGTGCATTGCATATGATTGATATAATCACTATATATATATCTTTCTCGCACAGATTTTGAACACAGGCCTGATGCTCAATTTCCCTCTTTTTTTATATGTTATAAAAAATCACTCATTCCTTTTCTTTCCCCCCGAAACAAAATCCCAAATACGCCACTGATACAGTGTATAAATATTCGTGTACGCGCGTGCATAATAAAATATGCAGGTACATGTGTAAGTACTTTTGTGAATTTAAGGATAGCGTACATATACTATATATGTAAATAGGAATCAGAAATCGAAATGTGTGGATTTAAGAAATACAAATGGAAAAATTTGCGAAAACAATGGTATTAATCGGATTATGAAGATCTAACAATAAGATCTTGATATAAATTTATATATTGATCATAATTCGTGAAATTGAAGATATAATCTCGTATCTCTGTTAAATCAAGAATTAATAATAGAATTGAAAGTTTTTCAATATCTATGCGTAATATTATTCAATTAAATGAAGGACGTGCATTGCGAAGTAATTGTAAAGAAGAAACCTTGGAAAATTGAGAAATGTATTGGAACCTAAAAGTCTGAGATATTAAATTGTTTGATGTAGAATTCAATGATTAAAGAAACATATATATATGAAAGAGAGGAAGAAATGATTTGTAAGAATTATGTCTACTTTTCGGCGATTACACCACTTAATCAAACTGTTATTCTCGTAACGCATTTCGATTTTGGCACTATTTCTATGTGCCATTTACATTAACTTTTCCTGAGCATTGTATCGTCGAGTAATCAAACTTGAGGCACTTGCCATTTAATTTCGAAAACGCAAATACAGTCTGGCATATCCATTATCTGGTATTTGCACGAATAATTTAATCGCTTTTAAAGTATACTATAAAGATAAAGTAATGAAATTATATTTTCACGGTTTTACGATAAAAAGCAAATGCAAAAAATGTAGACTCAAAACAGGCATCAAAGAATACAATTGAATATTTGTGCTATCTAATCTAAAAATTTGGAAAATTATGGAATAAAAATACTGTGTATTTTTTGGGATTGAAAACTATAAAATAAGAATTTGATCAAAGTTTGAAGATTCGCGATGCTATGTACGCAAACAAGAATTCATTAGAAGCCCATAGAATATTAATTATATATGTATATATGTATGTTTAATTAAGCAGATATATGTATATGGGAAATTAAAAATCTGCAAAAGCAAGCATTTCCAAGAACAAAAAAAAAAAAACAAAAATTTGCGGAATCAAAGATTTCTGCAATCAAGAATCCACAAATAAAATTCGACAATTGTCGATATTCTTTACGCTATCATTTATCTAAAATATATTGGACATTACTTCCTATCATAAATCCAACATTAGAACATTATATATCTCAATCTGATGAAAATAGAACTCTGTACTCTCTGACTAATGCTAAACGTTTTAGGAGACCCTGATGTATGAGGCAGGTATACCAGTAAATAGTTTTGAAAAGACAGACGAAAGAATTTTAGAGAATGAGTTTAGAGGGTATATGAGAAAGAGAGAGAGAAAGAGAGAGACATGTAATCGATTAAGGCACAGTCTAACCAGGTAACGGAGCCTCCTCGTAAAAATCGAGCTCGTCTTCAACCTCGTGCTCGGATCCCTTGCTGTCAAGGGCGCGTAGCTCCGCTGCGGTGAAGAAGTGGCTCATCTGAGCGCGCAGTGGCATCATCAGGATGAGGAAGAAGGGTAGAGCTAGGGCTGCCCTCGTACTCTTGACGATCCACAGCACGCTCAGGCACAGGATCTGTATGAGGGTGAAGACATGCATTTTGTAGGTTTGCACGCGCCGCACGTAGTTCGCTGTGCCGTGGTGCTTGACCGGCATAAAGAACAGCTTGATGCGATCGAATAGCTGCACGCCGTTTGTCGATGAGATGCCCATGTACAGGAATACACCCAACAGGACGGACATCGGCACCCGGCGTAATAGAGGCGCCATCAGCACGCTTACGCCTATCAGTATTGCGACCAGAAGGGCGCTCACCCGCTGTTCCTTCACCTCGACGATGTGCGGCTTGTCACCAGGCGCGTGGGTACGTGACATCACGGTCACGGCGGATACATGAGTGAGGGAGCGCACTGATGCAGCGCAGCACCAGGGCGCACCCATCAAACCGCATCCCACATTCATCAGACAGACCACCACGATATCCATGTGGTAGCCGTTGCCCTTACGTAGCTTGCGTTCTTTCTTATCGATGATTAATCTGCGGATATGATGTGTGAGTTAGTCAAAAGCAGATGCATACGCGGTTGATAGCTGTGCTCATACGAAATTTATACTTACTCTGATATTTGAGTCTCCATAAACACCAGGATATAAACTAGCAAAGCTGGCACCATGCAAGCAAGAACCATCCAGACCGGAATAGGTTTTTCAAAACCGGCTGGAGACACGAACCAATTTCTATCAGGTATAGTAGGTGAGAGACCTTCGGGAACTAACAATTTCTCTGTCTTTACCGTAGCCAGATAATCGATTAGAACGAATACAATGATGCTTATGGGCACGCCGAAGTCTCCGAAGGCTCGTCGTGCACTACGGCCCAAGTAATGACTGTTGCGGAAGATTCTTAAGTAGTAGGCACCCAGAAAGGTACCGAGGCAAAGAATAGTACACATCAGAGCAGTGTTGGGTTGATTGATTGGTAATCCGGCGATGTTATGACTCGGTATCAGTTCCTGGGGCTTATCCAAGCGTAGGCTTTCCTCAGTCTCGTTCCATGGCGAATTGGTTATTCGCATTCCGACGACATAGAGCGGATAGATGGTGCTATTGGCATCTGGTCCGAAGCTGTACTCATGGATGAGTGGATTACGCACAAAGTAATTGTAGAGCTTGATGAACGTCTCAACGATATAGAGGATGGAGATCAGCCCGGTGAAAATCTCTTCGGTAAAACGTGTGAAGAGTCGCACAAGAACCGAACCTTCGACGCAGGCGATCACCACGGCAATGATGCCCATCCAAGCGCCAACGTATACCCGCACGGTAAGGAATTCGAGGTCGTTTGCTATGCAAAAGTTGTACAAGCTCTCGTCGAAGAGTAACAACGGGCCGGTCGTGCCGATGATTACTAATGGTTGGGTTGCAAACAAAGCCATCACCACCCCCGTCCATGATCCGGAAACTAAGGTTTCAGAAATGCCAATCACATTCTGCGTTTTATCACTCAATAGACCGCCAAATGTGATAGCGGTGCACAACGCGGCGAAATACATGAAGATGGCTGCTGCGAGGCAGGAAGAGCTCAGCCCATCTGTAAAGTCGGACAGATAATGGGGATAGCGACGCTTGATATCATTGATGAGGCCACCGAATGGTCGTCTAGTGCGTCGTAGGGGATCGTCTTCCGGAAGCTTCTTTTCCTCTTCGCCAGCTAAAAGAGCTATTCATTGACGTGATTAGTTGTGTAAGAACGTAGGATATAAGATATCATATTTAAGGCTTCTGCACACTCGATTGCCAAGTTCGCGTTGACAACTAATTCAAAACGGTGGAAATAAAAATCTCTATATTGTTTTGTCGAAATAAAAGATGTATAATAATAAACAAAAATAATATAATTAATAAATAATATGATTTTGTTTATTAATAAATAAGTAAAAATGACATTTTAACAAGCCAAAAGATTCTTGCGACGTACAGCGTTATTTTTCATTTTAGTGCAGTGTTTAAAATAATTGTCGTAGTGTTAAAATATACCGAAGACTCTCATTTTGGCATAATTTAATATGTGAAAGCAAATATTAATTTTTTTTTCGATACCTGTTAAACAGTTAGTTTTCGTCCTTATGGTTAGGCTCAATTTAATTCGACATATACATGTTATTTATTGATAACCCAAGCAAAAGGAGAGTTTTCGGTATATTTCACAAGTGTGTTCTATCCATTTCAATCGGTATTTTATTGAAAAACATTTTTATTTTCACGTACGTCGCAAGAATTTCTATGGTATATTTTCTTGCTTCTGACGTCATCAATCCAAGATGGTCGCGATGGGTATCCAGGAGCCTTAAGAGATTTAAAGAACTGGTCTTTGGAGAAATTACCTTTCTTCACAGTCGCCTCGCTTTGCTCCGGCTTGCCCTTCTCTTCGAGCGCTTTCGCCTTCCTCTTTCTGATAGCTTCGCTTTTCGCCTTAAGCTCGTTAAACGGCAATAAGGCTTGTCTCTCCCAGTCACCAGGTGGCAACACGATCGAATCATCCAAAAACTCGTTAATGGCCGATAATAGCTCTCGTCTCTCGTTCGCTTTGTAAGCAATTTTGTGAAACGATGTGTTCGCCATCAGGGTGGAGATCGACCGACCGATCTCGTGATAGTCCAAATCCGCATTTCTTGGCCCCAGCAGAGTAAACATAAATCTGACCGGTATTGTGACCTCCGTAATGGACGGTATCAGCACACCCTCGGCCAATCGGACGAAGGCTATTGTCGGCTGGTCCAGAAAATCGACGGCGCCAACGAGGACAACCGTTGCTTCGGCACCAGCCGGGATCCTCTTCAGAATGTAATCATTATGGGTGCTCTTTTTTAGGTCCTCGTTACTGCTCGTGTACGTTAATTCCTCCTTTACGTCGATCGTGGTGTGATTGCTGTCGAGCGCCAGATTCGATGCTATAATCTTCGGCTTCGCGTCGTGCAGATTCTGTCGGGTATTTTGAAATTTTTTTTAGAGAGTTGTCTGAGAATTCTTTGATTCCGTCGAAGAAACTATATAGATTTTTCGCGAGAAAATTCTAAATATATTTATTAATATCTTGAAACTAGAGCACCTATATCATTATAAGTAGTTTGGCATCAAATATAGAAGAATAAATATTAAAATTATTTCTGTTAATTATTAATATAAAAATTGGTAAATATCCATAAAAAGTAATATCTTATAATTCATTTTGAGATATATTTTTCGGAGTAGAATCTTGAGTTCATATTCTTTAATAATAAAAAAAAATAATATAACATATTTTTGTACTTACATATTATATAATTATAATTTTTTTCATTTAAAAACTCTAATCAAATTTTTCATTTTAAATTAAGTGCAAAATGTAGAAAAAGTAATGAAAAGTAATATATATTTCAGAAAACAGAAGCTTTCCTCGTATGATTTAAAGTACAAGCCACTCAGAATTCCATCCCGTAAAACATATAAAATGAAGGCAAAATTTGAGATGTTATCTTTTATAAATATTTACTAAAGATCTTCTCTATTAATAAATCAAGAAATAATAACTCTTTTACTTACAAAAATATAACTTGCTTCTTTTAAGTACAAAATATAAATATTTTTTAAAACTGTAGAATAATATCTGTTTATTATCTAATTTCATGATATTGTTTAATATAATTTATAAAAAATAAAATGTTCAAAAATAATAATAATAATAAATTTCTTATAAGAAACAAGCTGAGATTGAACTTTTTAACAATTAAAAAAATATATTATACATTTAATAAAAAATAACATAATTGCTTTCTAACATTGTATAATGTATAGAAGTAGACAAAACATTTCACAATAAGAAAATAGAAATATTGATTTAAAATTAAAAATTGAAAAACTTCTCATACCGCACTCGTGAGTATAAATTATATACACGAAAAATAAAGTAATACACGAAGATACGATTCAATATTTTTGAGAAATTGATTTCCGAGATCACGATGTATAAGATAATAATAGTTTGTACAAACTATTTAATATATATAAGAGGGAGAGAAATATACAATATATATCATATCTTCGTGATTTGCTTCAATATGGAAAATTAGATAGGAAAGAATATAAATAATTTATGTAAGATTTTTAAAGCCTAATAAAAAGAGAAGCGGGGGAATACATTACATGATTATAAGCATTTTAAGTTGATCGTTATTGATCGACGAGAGCACACTACACGAAAATTTCTAGACTCCAGGTTTTAGGATCCAGATACTAAATAAGCCACTATAAAAAAGGCATTCACGAAGACGCAACAATAGGAAAATTGCAAGCTGTATAAGAATGAGCTGCGATCTCTCATTGGCTTGTTTTTCACCACAAAATAAAATGTGGCATTTATTATCAAAATAATTAAAGAGATCAAAATTTAAATTGACATAAGTAAATATTTTTGTCAGTTTTAATCGCACCCAAATTTGTGCAAAAAAGATTATGTGACTAAAATGAATTTTATATATGTGTATATATGTGTATATATACACTAAGTATTATAACATTGCCAATGACTATCCTGATCAATGTTTTTTATGTTGTTATATATCTATTTGTCTATTAGATCTGACAAACTGATGATATGTAAACATTGTGCTTTAACATTGTCGATATTTGACACAAAAAACACACAGAAAAGACGCACTAAATCAAATTGAAAAAATTGAAAGTATTAAAAAAAATATTGATTCAAACAAATTATTGTTTTGCATTGTGCAATTATGTTTTTAGAAAAGAAATTGCAAGAAATCTGTAAGTGTACATATTCGATTTGCCCCGTAAACTTATATATTGAAGGGTTTATTTTAAGTAAAACATATTTGGTATTTATTTACATTAGGGCCGACCTCATAGATTTGAATGACCTAGATATAAAGCCTTGGAAAAAGTATAAAGTACTATTTCTTAATTGCAATTAAATAAAATAGAGTTGTGAAATAAAAAAAATAATTTAAAAAAAATTTAACGTTTTAGAAATTTAATACAACTATTTTTTTTAAATAAATAGTAAATCTCTCTGTAAATTAAATATCTATGTAAAATTATTCACTTTTTGAAGGTGACACGTAGAGTTACAGACTTGTGTGCGAAGGATCATAGGTTCGAGCTAAACAACCCCATATGCTTGTTTGGGGAGAAAAAAGATGATGGAAGAAGGAATGAATTTGGAAAAGAAAAAAGGGAGAAGCAAGATTAAGTAAAGGAGAAGGAGAAAGAGAAAGGAGAAGGAAGAAAAAGGAGACAGGGATGAAACAACAAAAAAGGAGAGAAAAAGAAAAAAGAGGGAATTTATAAATGTAAAAGTATTTGACTACTGTAAAAGAGTCGGGAACGTTTTTTCTTGGAAACAGAGCGCCATGTAACCCTGAAGGGAATTAAATATAAATAATACTATTACTACTATTCATTTTTCGATCATTCTAGCCTTATAACTTTTTACGCAGAATATTGTGAGGAATTAATTTATATACAAAAATTATGGTAATTCCATTTTAAAAAATCTTCAGTCTCGTTCAATATCTATATGTTCCATTTTTTAATTCAAAATTATTTGGAAGATATATTGACTTATAAATTAAAATGGGTCATTTTGTATCTATATGAAGACGACAGTTATCTTTCAAAAGTCGTTCAGAGCCATAGCCTTAATACTATATATCAAAATCATTGAAATCTGTGAGATCGGTGAATCTAATATAAATCATTACCAAATATTTGCATGACAAGAACGGACAAATAGGGTAAAGAACTATAGAATAATAATAAGAATATATATAAAAAAAGACTGCGTTTTGTGTAATTCTTGGGAAACGAGAGATTTACATGTTGGGTTACATGGTTCTCAGCGGCTTCCCGCGCAGCATCTTCTTCCTCCAGCCAGATGGACTGTGGAAATAACATTAGCACTCTATCAGTCAAGCCTATCTTCGGTTACCGCCCGCTATGACTACTCACTACTGACCGTGCAATAACATCGTCCTCATAGGTAGTCTTCGACGTTTTTCGTAGACCGCGAAATAAACATATATAAAATTCATTTTTCTCTCTAAATTTTAACGCGCAAAATGCATCGGCATCCATTACGGTAGTCGCGATTATTTGTCGAGTTTTTTTTCGATTTACGGAATTAGACACATGCAAACCCAAGATCATCGCATCAGTCTGGAATTGAGTAAAAATTGAATTCTGGAACTCTCGTCGAATCTAATCTTATATTTGCTTAAAGCCCTAAAGCCTGTAAATACGATTATTACCTGGTTGAATAATTGATCATATCACTATTTCTATCTTTACACTTGATATACTTATTTACTTTCTGACTCAAGCAATTTTGAAGCGAATCTTATGATTAATCAAAATTAATCGGAATCGCTTTCACACGCATGATAAATTATATTTGGCATCTACAGCTGAATTACCTGAAGACTTGTGTAACTGGAGTAACTCCTTTTCCCGCCGAATCGGAAACCACGTTCATGTTCATGCACATGTCTGTGCCTAAGCAACAGTGCCCTCATCACGACCGGTCTATCCTCCGGTAGAATCAGCTCCTCGATGACCATCTGTTCCACTACTCTGTAGGCCAGTCCGGGCAAGTCCCTTTCCTCCAGGTCGAGGAGGACCACGCCGGTCTCTAGGCAACGGCGCAGATTCAATAGCGAATGAAAGCTGAGAGAGGCCACATGGGGTCTGCCCCATCTGTCGGCACCTTCTTCGACGTCCTCCTCGTATTTGATCCACCTGGCGGTCTCGCGCCACTCGCGCTCCTCGCCCAAACCGTGCAACTCGTCCAGCTGGACAAACACCTCGTGCGGCGAATGATCGTACATCTTCTTGAAGGTATCGTGAGGGATACCGCCCTCCTTTCGTCGGCCGATCTGCACCGTAAAGGCCTTATGTCGACGCATACCGCGTGGATCATCGCTACGATGAGATTCCAAGTCGTCGATGTCAAGTTCTTGCAAGGTGCTCGCCTCCTCCGGTTGTACACTGACACGTCGAGTCAGTAAACTCGAGATGTCCGACAAACCTGCCCCCGATCGTTTCCGCCATTGCGGATCCTCCTGTAGGGAATACTTGCGAGACTTGTGATGATGGCGTCTGAAAAAGTTAGGTTTGATCAATCGATTTTTGTAGATGTATTTTTGTAAAGAGAAGAAAGCATTCGTCAAATATTGGTAAGATCCTATTGAGATAAGACTATTAATATAAGCTTTTTGATTGGTTCCTTATCTTTTTGTGTAGCTTCAATTTGTTTCGTGCCACAAGTAAATTATAGAGTTCTCATTTGCGCGGAAAGATTTTTTATCAGGAAGCATCACTAAAAGAGTTCCTGGTCCAATCTAAATTAAACAATGATTGATATACATTTTTTTTAGGACATACACCTTGCGAATCGTTAACCAACTACTCCGCTTGGTACTGCTTTGTACCGGAATTGTTGCGCCACGAATCTAGCTCGTTGCTCAGGATGATACGAAAAAAGGGTCGACCGTTTCGTGTTCATAATTGCGCGGTTTATATATACTGTATAAAAATATATGAGTCCATTTGTGACTTGGAATGCGAGTGTCGGATATTAATTTTCTTAAATAATCGAAGATGATATATCTGCAGATATTCAAATAATATTCAAACTGGAGTTATATTTTCACCTGTGTACTTTATCACACTTTTTCAAGATATTATTCCATTATTATTAAATCATATCGAATTCAACTTACTTATGTTCGTGTTTCTGATGCCGTCGGCACTTCCGGTCTTCTTCATGGAGGGCGCTTGGAGCAACATCTGCCGGTACTTCCGCATCTATTTGTACGCTCGGTCCATCTTCTTCCTTGATATTTTCAAACTGCACTCTAGGACTACCGACAGTAGAGCTGTCACTAAAACCGGAAGCTGCTCTCTCTGAGATCGGTGCTTCATTCTCGTTACTCTTTACGCGTTCAGTTTCCTCTACTATTTCTTCATTGACCTCCACTTCGGTTTCGGCTGTGACGACTGATAGCAATCCGTTATGATTCGTCCCATCGACTTCCTGGGTCTCATTATTACTTCCCGCCTGGACATTGCTGTGCTCCTTTTCGGATGTTTCTGCTGATCCTTCACTAAGGACAATTGAGGAAACATAAGCGATCTATTTATTTTTTGGTGTCAAAATGCAGTGAAAAAATCCTACGAACATTTAATCGAATTTTGGTCGTTAAACTCGAGGATATAGTAATAAAACCGTACCTTAGAGTTTATTAGAAAAAAACGTCACAAAAAATTCAATCGTCGATGTCGACGTCGGAAAATATTTCAGATAGCCTTGAAAAGGAATATAAATAATAGTATCTAGTGTCGAATGTCCGTTTTTATTCGCAACGTATAGTAACTTACGGTGAAAAATGTCGTCGCATAGATCTGGAATGCAAGCTCTTCAAGGGCATGTGCGGGTGAGGGTAGCTTCTTTTCCGGTGTTCTGAAAAAGAAAATTGGTTTTCGTCGTTCTCTTTTCCGGAAGACGGAAGACGGCTTCAGAGACTGCGAATAGGAGAAGACAAAACTTACGATTAAGATCGCGATCGCCATATCGCGGTGGGCCGCGATCGCGATCACGATCGGATCCAGTCGATTCCGAAGGTGAACCGAGCCGGGCTACATCGAACTTTTCTGCGGTGTCCATCGCGAATACTTTTTCCATCTCCTCGTCGAGCTCCGGTCCCATCTCCGCGCCATGCCCATCGGCCTGATAATACCAAATAAAAACATAAGACATTGACATTTCTTGCAAATGTATTAATTGTCTTGATTCTCCTTGTTAATGAACGGATATCCATAAACAGCTTTGCACTTTGGGCTTTATCTATCCAGACAGTATCGTGTTCAAAATTGAGACATCTAAGACATCTATGACATCTTTAGATATCTTAAAGATGTTTTAAAGATGTCTTGTGATTCGATTGTTGACGTGTTTTAATTTTGGTGCTGACTGGGCAGGTCCTAAAGCAACTTTAAATGCTAAAAATGTGTCGGAACTTTTCTGTCCAAAACAAAATAAGGAACTTCGTTTGGAAACTTCCTAAAATATAACGGGAAAGAATGTTTCAATGTCTAACAGTTGCTTAAAAAAAATGACAATATGTTGAAATCACGAAGTTAGATATTCGGATATCCATACATTGATGGAAAAATGAAAAATTATGCATTGAAGAAAATCAAATTATTTTAAAAAATGATATCTTCAATATCGGATGTCTTCGATAATAATGTTAATCCTTTTCGTAAAGGAGATAGATCTTCGAATCTTATAAAAATACCTTTGTCGCACATTTTATACTATCCTATAATAAAACCGTGTTATCGTTTTTTTGTAAAAGGAAAAAATATTTATCGTTTATTCGTTCTATAAAGTTTCTTCGGGATTAAAATTGTATGAGCAAAACTATGAAAGAAGAGTTTTATATCTTGTTCTACACGTGGTTTGCTAGTTATTACATAAAGCCATCTGATGCATAACATCCTTTGATATAATAAAATGCATTAAATTTTAGATTTAACGTTTATTGAAAAACATTGCATTCTAAAAAAGTTTTAGAAAAATATATATATACAAAATGAAATTGTTTTCTCTCTAAACTTTTTTTGAATTTTGAAGTGTTCCTTTTTAAGAAAAGGAATTCCAATTGTGAGACATCTTGTAAAGAGGCAACTAAAAGTGCTGTACTTTACTTCACCCATGCAATTTAGGAAGAATTGCATATGAATTGAATATATAAATATCTTTACAAATAAGCGTTAAACTTTTTTATTATATAAATGCATTCCCTATTGTAGATCTGTAGACAATGAATTGAATCATAGTGTAATGTTTTAAGTACGTTATGCATTCTGACTTATCCACAAGTATTATGAGCGAGAAGTAGATATTTTAGGATATTTGAACAATTAAAATCACAATTGATTTCATAACTGCGGATTCATTCATGTTATATTTAAAAAATCCGTAAATCTATAAATTATTGTTCTATCTCCGATAATCCAAAGAAAAACTATGATTCATCTTGTGTAATTAATTTACTGTACGCTATAATGACGTGATTTTATTATCAATTTCGTTGCGAAACGGAAACTTACTTTGAAATTCATTTTTTCTTTCGGCGTGTATATGTGTGTGTTTCACTCTTTCTCCTGTAAGTTTAAAAATACATTGCCGGTCTCTCTATTTGCCCGGGGAACAACGCTTGTTCACAATAGCCAAAGAGCTATTGTGAAAGAATCGATCTCGCACTTTGTTAGATGTTGTCAGAAAACTGGCTTTGTATCGTGACAGATCAACAAAGGTATATTTGCATATTTGCTTTTTCCGACAAAAAATTCGAATTATAAAAGCCGAGATGTTCCTTCTCCCAATTTTTTTACAAATTTAAATTTTGCAAAAATACTTATCCAATCGTTTATAATATTAAGAAAAAAGAAAATAAAAATATATGTAACAATTCTCTCTGCTGCACCAACAAAAGTCTCGAAGCAGTATCGAACTAATTTGGCCCGTCATCCGGCACGACTATCAAAACGAACGTCATTTGGCCAAGTTTTCCCTTGCGAATTGTCAGCATCCAAGAACTTGATAAAATTAAACTAGCTAAGGTAAAACTAAACTAAGAATATAAGCGTTTCATCATGCGGTTTCATCAACTAATGCTCTCTCTCTCTCTCTCTCTCTCTCTCTCTCTCTCTCTCTCTAATTTTGCGACAAGATTACATTAGAAATTTAAAGGCGGACTTTCTTTCAATATACTTTTAGCATATAGTAATATCAAATATCCATTTTTTTACAGTAAAAGAGAGGAGAGTATAATATTAAAGTCAAATATAATTGCTTATTTAATAACTAAAAGAAAAATTAATTTACATTAGATCTGTCTTGCGAACAATTATATAAATAAGTAAAAGAAACATAAAATAACGTTGGAGATTAAAATATCTCTTGTGCATTAACGTGACAATAAAAGAGATAAATTAAAAATTTTCCACTATATCCCTTTTGTAGAAATGTTATAGGAATATAGGTACAATGACAGTTCTTTTTCAAAGATAAAATTACGAGAAATATTTCAAAATCTGCGAAATTTTACCGATCTGTTTTAGAGAGATTTAATTCTCTCATTAATTCTTTTATATAATTTCTAAAGATCCGAGTGTTTCTAGCAAGGAAAATTTCAGATCAAATGTTTCGGATTTCAAATCTCACGTTTTGAATTACAACTGATCACTGACCTTTTGCAGTTGCAAAACATAGCACAGAGACTTTGTTAAATAGTCCAAATAAACAGAATATTTCAAGAAGCTACGAAAAAAGTACAAAGAGCCCTCGAGAAATTGTCTATTCAATCATGCGAGTCGCGATTAAGATAAGGATAATTGGGATAAGGACAGTATTTCGTGGAACAAAATGACCTGGGGTTTGTTCACCTGGTGAGTCGTCCGCAGGGAGCGTCGCAGCCAGCGGAGAAGTTTGCCCCGCGCCCGCTCCAGAAATGATTTCCTGGAGGAACCGGCTGCGGCCTCGGGCATGGCATCCCGGGCAGAGTGACAACCCGGCCGGTTGACACTCAGAACTGGAGGATACTCGAAGTAAGGGCTGGAGGGTGGTGCTGCCGGACCGGGAGAATGGAGAGAGAGAGGGAGGAGAAAGGGTGGTGGGAAAACGCATGAACAGTTCTGAGGAGAAGAGATGGCGCGCGCGCGCGCGAATCGATATTAACCCCATATGCTCGATCAACGAGGGTAACCCCTTTCGTTCCTTTCATTTTTCCACCTCCAAGCCGAAAAATTAGCCTCCCTATACCTTTCTTTCTCAGAAAACACAAGAATAACATCTAATAAAAAAAGCAACATCTGTTTCAAGATTGGACTCTATATTAACAAGCCCAATATCTCAGGAGGATAAATCTGGCAGCATGAGCAGCATCGAATAAACCAGCTGAGCTTTGCAAAAAAAAGAAGATTTTTTTATCTTCCCGGCTTGCCACCGAGATTTCCATTCGGAATTTTCAATTTCCTGGCCAACGACCAGTGTAACGCTATATGAGTGTATCGTTTCTCATCCAACGTTGTGCAAAAGAAGTGCATTTTTATTTAGAACAATATGATAATTTCAAAGTTATTAGAAAAACAGGAGGAAAAGATTATCCGGTTTGAAATATCTTAAAAAGAACAGATGAAGTAAGAGAACTGAAGATTCTTTCAAGTACTAGGTTAACAAGAAGGAAATATATAAAATAAAATGAATAAAGAATGTGAAAGATGGAGAATGGGAAGATTGATAGAGAATATGGGCAAGTTTTCAAAATATTTCATAGAGGGATTTGAAAATATAAATAAATTGAATATATATATATATTCTGTATATATGTTTTTACATGGTGAAAGGTATCTTTTCTACCATATATGTATATATATATTGTATATATATATATATATATATATATATATATATATAGTAGAAAAGATACCTTTCACATGTAAAAACTACATTGGATTTGTTTTTTCATCAAATTTTTTATGAAAATTTTTTACAAAAGAGAAAGGAATAAAAAGAGAAGAAATATAATTTTTTCAGATATTTTGCTAATTATGCTACCGATTCTACATCCCTTATAGAAATTTATCACTATAGTAACACCAATTTATCACTTATTTCGAGTACTTAATCACTTATTTCGAGTGCTTAAATTACTGTATATCAGTATTTTATCAGTATTTTATGGCGTTACTAGTGATAAATTTCTACAAGAGATATATCACTGTAACTCAATTGATTAACTAGATTGAGAGTTGAAATTGGAATTGAGTTGAAACTGATGAATTGATATATTTTCATATACAGCAAGAATCCATGATCTTCCTTTAGAAAGAAAAATTATAACTATTAGTCTCTTGGAGCATTTGAAATAATAATGTCAAGGGGGAATTATGGGCAGACAAGTGACGGAGACTGGCAGGCGCAACAAGTGTCAATCAGCCGTGAAATCCGGAATAAAAAAACTCGAGTAAAACAGTTCAAAGAAAGAGAAAGTTGGTAGCACGGTAATCTCCACAATTGCAGGTGGGAAAGTTCAGCTGACGGTGCTGAATAGTGGGCGGTAGGCGATAGAAGCAAATGAAGAGATAAGAATCGCATTGACTGGATCAACCTTAACTTGGGTCATAGAGATATAATCGATCATCGAAGATAAAAAATGTGAAAAAAATGAATAATATATAAGAAACAGTTTTCCATAAAATGTCTCATATATCATATATCCTAACAGGATCGACAGGATCCTCATATTTTTAATAATATAAGACAAAATTTGTCCAAGTATTTCGCAAACATCCTGTAAAAACCATTTGTCGAATGTGTATCTAATATTTCGGTCCAGGGTATCGATTGTGTAACTTTTTCTAAAGCGAAAACATGAAAAATGAAAAATTTCTGCCAATCACATATCGATTTTATTTTAAAATCAATGCGTGATTGGCGGAAATTTTTCACTTTTTATGTTTTCACTTTAGAAGAAGTCACAATCGATACCAGAACAAAAACCACGCAATTTAAGGCTCTTTGCCTTTAAAAAAATGCAGAGTTTTTAGAGAGATTTAAGAAAAGTTTATATGTATCTTTTTTTGTTTATTTAATATTCGCATTTATATTATATAATTATAATCAATCATTTGATCTTCATGAGTCTTTGATCTTTATCA